GTGATACGCTCAGTCAGAAGTCTGTTTGCTCGCTCTGCCACACCGTTCTGCTGAGGACGATTCCTGGTGGTATGCTGTCTCACAATCCCGTGGTCATCTGTGAATTGCTCAAATTCCTTGGACATGTACTCTCCCCCTTTGTCATCACGCAGAGCCTTGATTTTGCGCTCCAATTGAGTCTCAGCATAAGCCTTGAATCTCTTGAAAGCATCAAAGACATCTGACTTGGCCTTGAGAGGCACAACAACACGGAATCGACTGTGATCATCAATGAAGGTGACCCAGTAGCGATAACCAGAGAATGTGGGGGAAGAGACTTGGTGAACATCAGAGTGGATGAGGTCCAAAGGATGAGCAGAGCGAGTATCAGATGAGGGGAATGGATTGGCATGCATCTTGCCAGACAAGCACGGTTCACAGACAGGATCAGGAGCAGCCTTGGAGTCCAGTGTCAGCCCAGTGACCAGATCTCTCTGTATCAGTCTCTTGACATCAGCATGATGGTGATGAGCCAATCTGCGATGCCAGAGCGTCAAATCAAGTGGTATAGTCGCAGTAAAATGTCCCAATTCAACACAAGCAGCAGTAGATCCATCAAGGAATGCTGCATTGTTGTCATTGATAGTTGCAGTGAACAAGAGAGTGTTGTCACGCATAAAGGACATGGAATGAGACGAAATGGTGACATTGAAACCACTTTGACGAGTTAAATACAAGACTGAGAGGAGATTATTTCGAAGATCTGGTACATGGAGCACTCTAGAGAATTCCACAGCCCTAGCCACTTTGCCATTCATCACAGGATTAAACACCACAGTACCAACACCAGCTGAATAGACGACAGTGTGATCAGCCAGCTTGATTGGCACACAATATGGGGTATAGTGGTGCACCCAATGACGATGAGGTGTCATATGAGAAGTGGCGCCTGTGTCTGCATTCCAATCAACGTCAGCATCAAGTTGGAGAGGGCAGTGAGGATCAGAGGGATGAATGGAACGAAGACTTGCATTTCCAGCTGATTCAGTGACCACAGTAGATGAATTGGCATTGTTGGGCGAAGATTTGGGCTGCTGAGAGGTATTCTCAGAGTTGCTGGGGCCTGCCTGAGCCTTATTGCCACGCTTGTAGCGATTCTTAGCGCCCTCCACCGCCTGTTGGCGACTGATAACATATCTGTGGCATTTATCCTGGGTATGACCAAGTAAACCACAGAAATCACACTGAATGCGAGTAGAGGTGGTGGATTGGTTGCAATGATGGCAGTTAGGATGGGTGCAGGTGCTATTGGCAGTGGTAGACGAAGAATGCAAGGCAGAATCGACTTGAGCACGACGACGGCGATTGACCTCTTCAGCAAGGAAAGCATCCCTGAGCTGGGTCTTGTCCAAGGTGCCCAGAAGTAGTAGAGATGAAGTGAAGTGGGCATATTGATCAGGAAGCGCCCTAATCATGGCCATGCATGTCAATTCATCGTCCAATTCAGACAATGAGAAGCCTGTAGGACGAAGATTTTGAATCTGATGCATGCCTTCATCAATCCTGGTCATGAGAGACTGCAGGGACTCGTCCTCCTTCTTTCTGATAGAGAAGAAGTCGTCATAGGCGTTAAATCTCGTCCCAGGCTTCTTAGAGACGTGCACAATGGCCAGTTTCTCCCAGATCTTGACAGGATCATCAATGATGCCATCAAGATGGATGCGCTGCTCTTTGGTGACATTGAGGTATAATGCACCAGCAGCCTTTTCAGCTCTCAACTCCCATTTCTCTATTGCTTCAGCGTCAGTCCCAGGACACTTTTCAGCACCAGAGACAAGCCTCCACAGTCCCTTTGGTCATCAACCAAGCTTGCATTTCACCACTCCACTGGGGGTAGTTAGTGCCAGACAAGGGATGGAACTTTGGGTCAGAGTCAGACATGATGGGTGTTGTATAAGACGATAGAGCAAAGATAAATGATGTAGGAGACGGCTATAGGCGATAGAACAGTGGCAAAGGCGATGGGCAACAGTAGGAGGCGAGCAGATAAGATGGTGAGGCGGTAGAGAGAGGATATGGAGAGGGTCAGAAAGCGCAAGGATAGGTCCAAATAGGGTCCAAAAAGCGTCCAAAAGCGATCCAGGAGGGTGCTAAGGCTTCCTAGTGCTGCTACAGGGTTACGCCTGTGTTCCCCTTTCACAATACCACACTGATATTAACAGAGAAATCGCCTCGAGACAGTGTTGGTTAATAGGGCTTGTATATGAGTCAACAAAGTGACTTAAGCTCCCCAAACACCGCAGACTGAGAGAGGCTCTAGGCAACAGCAAACTGAGGCAATGCAGGCGAGCTTCACAGTCTATAGGCTTGTTCTATCTGATAATGGACAGAGCAGAGAAGATTGGAGCTTTATGCACACACCAGATATGCCAAAAAGCGAAAAATAGGGCAAAAAGTCGAAAATGATGCAGAGACAGATAGGATGGATGGATTCCCCCCTAATCAGAGGTATATGGAACGTTTATATAGAGCAATAGATGGCCCAAATATCGCAAGAAGTGAAGCACAGGATGTGGAGATATGCAATAGGGGTGCAATAGGGGTGAAAGTGCCAAAAATGCGAACTTCACAGAGGGTGATGGAGTGGATGGATTGCCCCCAAATTGAGGGTGTAGAGTGCGATAGTATAGGGTACTAGATGGCTCAAATAGGGCCAAGATCCGAGCACAGGATGTGGAGATATGGAGTAGGGGGCCAAAAGGTGATCAAATGATGATGAAGGCTCACAGAAAGATCCAGCTCAAATCCAACCGCTCTGACAGGTCTCCTAGGGTTATTTAGGCCGTAGAAGACGATGGTAGAAGTTTGGGGACGATCAGATAAGGATTGGATGAGATATGATGCAGATAAGACCAAAAAAGCGTCCAAAATGGGGGTAACTTGCAACAAGGAGTTGTTGTTGGAGATCAGGATGAGATCAGAGTAATCTGAGGTGATGGATGGGATAATAGGAGTCCCAGAAGACGATGGTTACGATGGATAAGCAGTAGGACGCTTGGATGGTGAGATATGAGGTCAGGAAGATGGCTAGAGCAAAGCTTGAAGGAAGTGTCTAGCCACTTGCTGAGAGCAATCAGGGACTGGAACTAGAGTCCAATGTGAGTAACTGTACTATTAGAGAGTATGACAGGTATACAGTACCTAGAGTCCAATGTGAGTAACTAGAGAATAGGAAGCATTGGACTCTGCAGTACTGTCCGATGTTTTGTAAACAAAGGTAAACAAAGCAGCCACAAAGGCGAAATAATAGAGAGCACAATCAGTACTGAATGGTAGAGGGATAGATAGAGAAAGGAATGAAAATATAGAGGTAGCACAAAGGTGCAGAATCACCAAAACTAACAAGAAGAAGAGAAGCCTGCTGTTCCAACCATAGCACCTGCCCCATCAAAGCCACACATCTTTGATATTGCACAGCCTATCTTTGATCCCACTAATGATGATGTAATCATGGAAGATGCTTCCCAGAACACCAAGAAGAATCCCCCTGCTGATAAACAGAAGAAACAACTCAAGACTTCATCTACACTTTCGCAGAATCTTGACTCCAAAGCCATCATTGATCGAATTCTCAGCACCCCTATCCCACTATCTATTGGTAATGTCATTGGTCTATCAAAAGAAGTTTCCCAGAATCTCCAAGAAATGATGAAACCCAAGCGCGTTAATTTTGGACTAGACAACAAGCCCCAAAGCTTGACAGCTGAATCACTTATTGCCATCACTCATGCCGACCTTATTTGTGTCCCTGTTACCTCTAATGGCGAAACTATTACAGCTATTGTTGATTCAGGGTCTACTCTCAATATAGTCAGTCGCACTATTTGGGAAAATCTCATTCGCCTTCCCATGGATAGTAGTATTCGACCTGTAGTCAAAGATTGCAATGGAGGATTTGGTAGACTTGATGGTTTAGTCAACAATGTGGCTTTATACTGTGGAGAAGTCAAAACTTATGCCAATATTTTTGTTCGGAAAGATACTGGATACGATCTACTTCTTGGATGACCATGGACGCATGGGAACCACGTCAGCATTGAAGAGAGACTTAATGGCACTTATCTCATCTTCAGAAAGGATGGCAAAATCGAAAACCCAGCTCTTGAAGTCAAGGTATCATCAGATCATCGTCCTATTCATTATGTCAAACCAGTATCTGGAGTATCCAATACAGTATCCAGCTTCTTAGTCACGGACTATGACTTCAATGGAGGAGATCAAGATGGAAATACCGATCAATCAGAAACTGCTGTTGCAGAAGAAGAAACCGTGCCTGTTCCAGATAATTCCCCAATTGGTTCAATCAAAAATTCTAGTACTCTCAGAGCACCAGAAGACCTGGAAACCCGTCTAGAAGAAACTATTGAAGCCTCTATCCCTATCCCCCATGACAGCACCTTTGAAACATTCTTTGACTATATTCACTCCACCAGAGAAGATGAAAGGTCTGCTATTTTTGGTCTACTGAACAACCTTCAATATCGTCACAACATGAGTTCACTCTCAATAACTTCAGACTATGTCATGAGAGGACACCATGGCTTCAATGAAAACCACAACCTTTATGCAGATTATGTCCTGCTCAATGCTCATTTGCGATTTGACCAGAATCATGGACCTGGAAGAGCACAATCTATTATCAGTCACTCAGGAACTGCACATATTTGCTTCTTTCCTCAAACAGAGTCATTTCCAATTCCCACTGATGAAGATATAAATGGACCATGTGATATGAATGGTCAAGTCAATGTGACGGTGGAGGTAATACAAGAATCCAATTCGGAGCCGATACACAATGATAGAAATGGATTAATTAATGATGGCTCATCCACTGATTCTGAATCACCACCCCCATATTCACGTCAACAGTTACCCTCAAATATCAGTGACTCACCCCCATCACCATCCTCTACCAATGCTACTATTGCTTCGTCACTTTCTCCTGATAATTGCACACTCATGCACCATAATCGCACACTCATGCATACTATTTGCAATAATAGTCAAGAGGATGAAAGGGAGATTGAATCCTCACCGCCCCTTCACTTATCCTTCTCCACAACAATAGGAGTGGAGCATCAACCTTCCATCAATATATCATCCGATATTACTCCTTATCTTCGAACTTCCATGCATCACTATCATCATTTTCCCACGTCACCATCAGCTCAGCCATTATCGATTGTTCACACCAGTGCCCAGAAATTCTACCCCAATTCTAACACATCTTCACTCCATCATAAATGCTTACATCGAGCATCACAAGCACCTAACATGTCCTGGCTCGAAGGGTTTTATATTACTAAAGAAGCTCTCATCATTGAGATTGTGGTGGGAGTGTTACTTGTCCTCGCCCTCTTCTACGGTTTTGTCTTCCCTCATATTTGCACTTATTGTCAACGAGAACGTGTTGAGGTTATTCACCTCCACAACAGGACAACTCATCCATCCAGTGCATCCACATTCACCACCAGCACTGAGGTACTTGCTAGTGCCACAGTTGAAGTTTGAGGTAGATGCTGGTGATATGTTTCTATATTCCTTTCTTACTTAACACTCCATTCAGCGCTCTTGGACCATATGCCACCTTTTCCCTTTTTCTTCTTTCTTGTTATATATCTATTACTTGTACAAAATGGCCTCTTGGATTTCTATGTTATCCGGTTTTTCCTTCCTTTACTCTTGTACCAACTTCTTTTTCTATTATCTATGTTCCCCTTTTGTTCTTATCTGATCTTTTTCCTTCCCCCCTTGTAAAACTTCCGACCTCATCCCTATCCTATTTGGTCCGAGATGACGCAAAACTACCACGGCACTTTCCTTCTTTGAACATTTTTTGTTTTAACCCTAGTTACATGATAGACATTGTGGACCTATACCTGTACCAGCACCCGATTAGTCGAGTTTTCGAGCTTACAAACGTGTTGATTGCAAAGTCAAACCCGTTCCTGGAGTATTCCCAGAAGACGCACGTGTCACTTGGTCATTTCCAAAAGACCCACTCCTTTCGCTCCCACCCCTTCCTGTCCTTCCCCCACAATTCTCTCCCACGCCAAAGCTCACCAAGGAGCGCCTTTATGACGAAATGAAGCTAAACTCTGATGGATTCTTATGGCCAGAAGAGGAAAAGCTTTTCGCTCACATCATGATACTCAATCAGCGCAGTCTTGCCTTTGAGGAAACTGACAGAGGAACGTTCAGAGAAGACTACTTCTCTCCTTATGTCATACCTGTTCTCCCACATGTCCCTTGGGAATACAAGAACATTCCTATTCCTCCTGGAATCAAGAATGAAGTCATAAAATTACTCAGAGACAAAATCAAAGCTGGAGTTTATGAGCCTAGCCAGTCGTCTTATCGCTCTAAGTGGTTTTGTGTTCAGAAGAAGAATGGCAAGATTCACATCTTCCATGATCTTCAGCCACTTAATGCAGTCACTATCAAAGACTCAGGAGTACCACCTATCCTTGACGACTCTGTGGAGCCATTTGCTGGTTCTCAATGCTATACTGTGTTTGATCTTTTTTGGGGATTTGATGCTCAAAAAGTGCACCCTGACAGTCGTGACCTTACCTCTTTTCTATCGCCACTAGGACTTCTGAGGATTACTTCTATGCCTATGGGATTCACCAATTCCGTTCCAGAATTCCAGAATTGCATGATTTTCATCTTGCAAGATGAAATTCCGCATATTGCCAATATCTTTGTTGATGACCTCCCAATCAAAGGACCTACTTCTCATTATGAAGATGCAGATGGCAACCCAGAGACCATTCCTGGCAACCCTGGCACTCGTAGATTTATATGGGAACATGCCATTGACGTTCATCGCATTATGCATAGAGTTGATCATGCTGGCAGAACTTTCTCTGGAAAGAAGACTCAGTTATGTTGTCCCCAAGTTGTGATTGTCGGACAAGTATGCTGCCCAGAAGGTCGTCTCCCTGACAGTACCAAGGTGGACAAGATTCTTAAATGGCCAATTCTCCAGACTCCCAAAGACGTTCGAGATGTTCGCAGTTTTCTTGGTCCATGTGGTACAGTTTGCATTTGGATCTGCAATTACTCTGCTCTTGCACGCCCCTTGACAGAATTGTATCGCAAAGGAGCTGAATTTCAATGGGATGAACGCAGACAAGAAGCATGCAGTATCTTCTGCACCAGCACTTCACCCTATAAATTATCCGTCACACAACCCAGTCATTCTTTCAGTTGATACCAGCAAGATTGCTGTTGGTTTTATCCTCTCCCAGCTTGATGAAAATGGAAGGAAGCGTCCAGCTCGCTATGGCTCTATTCCCATGAATGATAGAGAGGCAAATTACTGATAAAATTGGATATTGACCAGACCAGGGATTGAACCTGGAACCTTCTGGGTACATGCCAGCTGCTCTACCAATTGAGCTATATGGCCAAGGTTATACAATGTAGGATCTTAAACATGACATGCAACCACGGACGTCTTACACAAAATAGCTGCTGCATACTGGGCTGGCTTACAAATCAGAGGTATTGTCCTATGGAGTATTGGTATGTCAGAGTATATTCTAACAATTACAGTCAACCCAAGCTAGAATTATATGGTTTGTTCAGAGCACTTCGTCATTTTCACCTTTACATTGCAGGAGTAAAACACTTGCATGTAGAGGTGGATGCCAAGTATATCAAAGGCATGCTCAATGATCCAGATCTTCAGCCTAATGCCGCTATCAATCGTTGGATTCAGGGCATCCTTCTCTTTGATTTCAAGCTCATTCACATACCTGCTGATTGTCATCGTGGTCCTGATGCATTATCTCATGGTCAACCAACAGAGGAAGACTTTGAAGATGCTCAAGAATCAGATGATTGGCTTGATGATATCGCTCTTCTTGTTGATCCTGCCAGACCTCTCCCATATCACCCTATGTCACTCCCTTCGTTCCTTACCAGTGATTCTTCTCAGTACAATACTCTTTGTCGAATCTTCCACTTTCTTCAAACTATGGAGCTGCCTATATTTTCCTCTCTTCAAGCTTAAAAGTGTTTTGCCAAGCGATCACTTCAATTCTTCTTGAAAAGAGACAGCATGTTCAAGCATTGTCACTCTGCTCCTCCTCTCAAAGTCATCTTCAATCCTGACCTTCGACTTCACATCCTTACTAAAGCACATGAAAGGCTTGGTCACAGAGGAGTCAATGGTGTATTCTCTATAGTCAGAGAGCGCTTTTACTGGCCCCATATGTTACAGGATGTCAAGCATCATATTTGCACCTGCCATAAATGCCAGATTTGAAGTGTACGCAAAAGTGAAGTCCCACTTACCATCTCATCACCTTCTACAATCTTCACCAAAGTCTATGTCGACATTATGCTCATGCCCAAGGCCAGAGGATATCGATATCTTGTTGCTGCAAGAGATGATCTGTCACTTGCTGCAGAAGGAAGAGCATTGAAGAAAGCATCTGCACATAATCTTGCTCACTTTTTCTGGGAAGAAATCATCTGTCGCTATGGAGCTATAGGAGAAGTTGTCACAGATAATAGAAGCGAAGTCAAAGGAGCATTTGAAGAGCTTGTGGAACATTACCAGATCCCTCATATTCACATTTCTCCCTACAATTCCAAGGCAAATGGTGTTGTTGAGCATGGACACTTCGTCATAAGAGAAGCACTTGTCAAGTCCTGTGAAGGGAATGTCGATTTATGGCCAACCAAGGTCCATCATGCCTTCTTTGCAGACAAGGTCGCTACTTGTTGTTCTACTGGATTCAGCCCTTTTTATCCGTTGCACAGAGTTAACCCAGTCCTACCATTTGATCTGACAGAAGCAACTTTCCTTGTTCATGGATTCCATACTGCAATGTCAACAGAAGACCTCATTGCTCTGCGCATTCGTCAACTAGAAAAGAGACAGGATGATTTGCAACAAGCTGCACTCACTATACGCAAAACTTGTCTCAGATCTAAAGCGCAGTTTGAGAAACTCTATGCACGAAGGATGTTCAAGAACGAATACCAGCCTGGAGAGCTTGTTCTAGTGCGGAATACTCAAGTTGAGAAAGAGCTGGCTCGTAAAGCAAAGCCTCGTTACAATGGCCCTTATGAAGTTGTGTGATGTACTAAAGGAGGATCATATGTTCTAAAAGAAATGGATGGATCAGTATCACGAAGAGGAATTGCAGCATTTTGCCTACTTCCCTATTTCAACCGTCACTCTATGCCCCTCTTGGACGAACTGGATGACCATGATAACAACCTAGATGAACCAGAAGATGAACCTGACTATGAGCATAACGACTCAGATGATGAAGATAACGATTAATGACTTATCTGAATGAATTTTATGCTGATATGACCCTTTAATGTGTTGCCATGTTTCATTCCCTATGACCCTACCTTTATGGAAGCAACTGGGGACAGTTGCAATTTCAAGTTGTCCGTGGATGTCATGCACCAAAGTTGATTGGTAGCATGGACAGGTGTCAATAACGAAGCAAATATTCAAAAAGACTCGCCTTTGCGCCACACAGGCACAGTGCCACGTGGAATAGTAATTAATATTGCCTTTTCCAAACTTGTGGCTGATCAGCACCACCTCTATTAGGCAATCCAGTCACGCTCACCTTTGCTTTTCCATTCGGTACTTTCCGCATTTCGGCATTTCGGCAAATTTTTGCATCGCCACTGGCTACACATTGCATTGCGCCCTCGTTTTTGTTGTTTCCTTCACTTCCCTTCCTTTGCCTAGCCCCACCATGGGTCCCTTACTCTCGTTTTTATTCTCACCCGACAGTCGTTTCTGGATCCCCATTTTAGTTCACCTCCTTGTCACCTCCACCCTCCTCCTCCTCATCTTCTTTGCTCCGCCACCATTTCTGATGTCACCACTTCCTATCCGCTTCCGTCGCCGATCTGTCGACTACCACGGGCCACTGTTGATATCAGCAAAGCCCCGGCGGCCGGTTCAAATAGGGCAACAGGTCCATCTTTATGACGTCAATCTACCATCATATACTATCAAAACATCGGTCGCTCGCCTTGCCTGGTTGGAGTGTGGGTGGGTAGTTTTTGAGCTGGAGAAGGTTCATCCCCTTGCGTTGCCCATATTCATTGCTGTCCCATTCACTTAAGCATTCATTGTTCTATCCCTTTCTTTTCCTTTTTTGACAATCTTATCCTGTACTACCTACGCAGGATTTGTCAGCATACATTCCTTCCTTCATGTTCTTTCTCATTCTTTTTGCACAGCTATACTGTGCATAGCCTACTTTTCTTTTACTATATAAACCCCTGTATTTTACCTTGTAAAAAAAAACAAGAACTCAATTCCAGACTTCTTCTCTAATTTCAAGTTCACTACTCTGCTACTTGTGATCCAGTGTGGTCACAACACTTCCAACTGCTACTACTGTTAACTGCTATACTCGTCACTAAGCCCCTATCTTTCTATATTCCAACTATCCCTCCTCCTCAAAACCCACACCCATACATCTCTGGGTTTTACTTTGAAGGATCTTCACACATACCACCCCACGAACAACCAGACCACTCCACTGTTCTAGGAGGCAAAGCCCATAAACAAGTTCCGTGGAATCTGGGAGGATTGTGTGTTAGTTTGTTTTTGTGTGTGGTTTTCTAGCAACAGTTCTCATCATCGACAACGCCAGCCAAACGGCTGGCACTTATTGCTTCTGGATCAATACCAACATCGGCTCAAATTCTCCCCAACCTACCTCCTGTAGTCAATAAAAGCAAGTCAGGAGAAGAGTCAGATGAGTATAGTGGCCAGGCAATGGTAGTTGACGCACCAGCGGATGATATGGAAGTACTGAAGCAAGCCTTAGAGTGTAGTACAAACAAAGGGAGAGTAGGCACACACAAACAGTTCAAAAATAAGCTGGACACTGGCATGGACTACTTCATAAACACAGATGTGCGTCCTGGTTTTAAATGTAGAAGAAAAGTGTTCCACGCATGGTTTGACGATGAATCTGCCAGTGAGAACATTAAGTTCCTATTCCGGTTCTGGTTCCCTTTTCACACCATCTCTTTAGAGATGGACCACATTGACTGTGACTCTTCAAAAGCTGAAGGCTGCAACCGCTGCTCATTACCACAGCCCAAAGTCTGCTATGACCTCCATCAACCTGCTTTCTTTGACCGTTTTCACCGCAACCCCATCCCCAAATTTCCCAGACCTTCCAACCGCTCTAGAGTGACTACCTATAAAATGGGAATAACTGACCTCGCTCTACACACCGCATTCAAAAGTTGGAGGGAGGACAAGACTAAGGAGGTTTATGGAGAGGCCCATTTGGTCAATATAGGGCCATCTCTTTTCATGAGCAATAATACACTCACCCGGATTGTCGATTGCACACACCACTTTCAGGTTCAAGGTGTCAAGGACTTGAACAAGGAAACAAGGTGGCAAGGCTGCCTGGAATATGGCCAGGAGGTAGTTTTGGTGGTCTTGTTGGTTGAGCCGCCACCTCAGACTCGCCCTCCACTTGTGTCTACACCACTGCCATCTCGCTTGCCTGATACTGTTGCAACTCACACCACCATTGCCACTCCTACAGTACCTCGCAAGAATAAGTGTCGGGCCTGTGGAGTTGAAGGACACAATAGTAAGCTATTTTCTATTGATCATTAAACAGTAAACTAACCAATGATTTTTTAGTCCGAAACCAAGTCTGTGCTTAACATCTGTCTCGTGTAGATAAAGAGAATGTAAGTCCCACCTTTAGTGCCAAGTTGTGTAGCATTAACCTGTGCTTGTAACGACCAAGAGTTTGTTACTCTGGCACACAACTTGGACAAGCAAAGGGAAGAGAGAAAGAAGGGATCACCCCTTAGCTTTCAACAAGTTTGTTGTGCTAGACAACAGGAGGACTCGCTGAGTCCCTCCCCATGTATTGCTCCTATATATATACTAAAATACATGAGGTACTGTACAGTTGTAAATAAAGTTTAAAGTCCGATATCTAGCATGTGACCAGTCCCATGGTGAGCCTTGACACTGGTCAGGTGATGTGTCACATGATTGGTCATGTGACTATGAAAAGTCGAAAATGTAAAGTAAAGTAAATGATCACATGACTGGTCATGTGACTTGGAAAAATAAAAGTAAAAGTACGAAAAAGGTGAAGTGTAAGTAGGTACTGGTACATCAATTGTAACAGTGCTTGAATAGCAACCTATGACCCGATCCTCATAATCTATATCATCTTTACCAATATATCATCCATAGCTATATCACTGTCCTTTGTCACTATCTACTTGTCATTTTTTATAGCATATTCATCCCTGTCTATTAGATTTAGTCTCTTGTCAAATAAATCATTGATTTGCAGCCTCGTTTTATGACCTGGTTGGACTCTGTGAGGTGAAGAAGTCCCAAGATGATTCATAAGCACTTTAAATTTTTTTTCATGTCGGGATCTGCATGTACCACCGTCAAGTGGATGCTGAGGAAGTTTTGTTCTATCGTTGTGTGCGTATTACAAAAAACTTGGATGAGTATTGACTCCATCATAATTGTACACAGATCTGCCCCACACATGTCACGAGCG